GGAGAATGGCGCTAGGCTTACCGCACCGTGACGTCACTGCTGGAAGATGGCAGGAGGGAGGGGTTACTATATTTGGGCAAAAATGGCCGCTCCCAGACTCAGTGATCTTGAAAATTATTATTTTTATTTTTTTTACTGATTAACACTAAATTCATTAAATTGCAGCAAAAGTCTTAGTTTTAGGTATAAATAAGGATCCATTGATTATTCTTTGCTTTTCCTTTTAAATAAAATAGATCTTATGCACTGAAAATAAGAGACTGCAGATGTTTTTTTCTATCTTTCTTGTTTTAAATGTAAATTGTCTTATTCCATTGACAGTGTCTCACTTAGCTCCTGAATTCAAGAAGAAATTGACTGACTTAGATGTACATTTCTAAGCAGTGTGTGTAGCAGAGGGCAGACATGGAGGAAAAGCTGTTTTAGCCCAGAGCAGAGATGCAGAACAACCTGAACCTCCAGGAGGGTCTGGATCCAGCAGGACAATAATTCAAACTAAGGAACTAAAACCAACATAGAGCTAAAAACGGATGCTAACAGAAACTATAAGTAAAATAAAAACAAACTATAAATTTATAAAATTCTGTGTCCTGCATTACTGAACAGGTGGAGACCAGAGCCACGGAGATATGAGAGATAGGCATGAAGATCTGGTCTCCATGGAGACATGCTTTGTTTTTATATTATTTATATATATTATTTTGTTTAATCAAATCTAGATGCTTTTTATTTATTTTTCGTTTATCCTGTTACTCGTTTATTCAGTTTATCGCCTCCAGGTGGCGCCAATGCGCAGCAAATACTCACCGGCTCAGAGAACATTACGCCTTAGTCAAAATGATGTCAAGGTTGGTTTAGACACTTGTCAATCAAACATTTGTGACTGATAGAGAAGCACCCGCCCACTGCGGGACGGCTGAGTCAAAACTAATTAATTAATCAATCAATCAAAAAATAAATAAATAAATAAACCCTTCAAACACTTTTCAATTCAAAACAATGGGAAAAAAAACATAAATCACGGAGGTATTTTTTTTATTTATTTTTTTATTTTTTGCATTTGAACAGTTTTTTTTTCTTTGATTGTAAAAATATTCTTTTGATTGAAACAACTTCTTTGGAATTGAATGATTAACAAATGTGCTCCCCATGTCAGACCCAAACACAAAAGATTAATTCAATCAAAGAGAAAATTTTCAATAAAAAAATAAGAAAGTGTTCAAATGCAATTTTTGAAGTCTCAACTATTTTATTTGCATTCAAAAACGATTTTCTATGATTGAAAACATTTATCTTTTTATTGAATTGACTTTTTTCATTGATTTTGTTGTTTGTTTCTTTGAAGCAACTTATTTTTTAATTGAATTAGAAAAACCCATCATATGGTCCAACCAAAAACAACTTTTACTTCAGTTAAAAAAAAGTTGCTTTAGTCAAAAAAGTAGCATTGTTTAAATAAATGTTTTTGAGTCTCAACTATATTTTTGCATTTAAATACCTTTTTTCTTTGATTGAAAAGTTGTTTTTTTCATTGAAGGCGTTTTTAATTGAAAATATATTTTTTGATTGAAGCTACCTTTTAAAAAAAAAAGAATAATATAGAACCAAATCTCCCGTCATAATAGAGCCTTTAAATAATAAAGTCCTTCAGCTCAGATAAACTTTGGTTTATAAAAAGCTTCTTTAATGTTCTGATGATGTAATGTTTGTTTTCAGACAGAAAACTCAGTGTCTCTGCAGGCCTTGACTCTTATAAATAAACAGGGTTAGGTAAGCAGGTTATATAGCAGGTCACAGAGAAAAGAACCACATTTCCCACAATGCCTTGCGCTGGAAAGCCGGAAACAGGACATTTTCCTGAACTGAAAGCAGTTTACCTGTAGCCCAAACACCTGCTGGGTTATATTCTCCATTTATTCATGGTTTCCCAGGAGCCTGTCTGGATCAGCTGTTAAGAAGGTAGCAAAACCAATAAAACACTTTTAATATTTCTCACTTTTATTGATCATAATATTAAAATGAGGTAAATTAATGGTGGATTCTCGCTCAGAGGTCTGCAGTGACCCTGGATTCAGTCCTTTGGCGGTTAGAAATATTTTATTTACTCCAGCAGAGGGACGGAGGGAGGGGGGGCATGTTCTGTTGTTTATTAGCTTTTTTTTTCTTTCTTTTTTTTTAAACAAACATTTTCATTGCTGCAGTTTGGAGGATTATTGACTCCGATAAATAATGAGATAAAAAGTAAAGCAGTTTTCTGTGATATTTCCCTAAAACCATTTTTTTATGTTTGTTTTTTTTTTCATCTGAAACACGCCCCGCCCCTTTCCTGCGGGAGGGGGGACAGGAAATGCAGCAGAGCGGAACTCCATTTCCCAGCTGCCCCTGCGCGGACCGCCTCCCTCTGCGCAGAATGAACCCAGGAGGTGCAGGAGCAGCAGGAGACACAGTGAGTTTCCTCCTGACAGGGAGGTGTTGTTGCTTCTGCTCCTTTTCTCTCAGGCTGTGGAGGTGAGGAGCTCCTCTGTTAGAGGTTCGGATCTTTATTTGAGCTTTTTCTAGACAACAACATTGAAATGAAATGAACCTTTTCTCTTCCTGTAGCTGACCTTTATCTGCTGGTTCTGCTTCTCCTCTCCTGTTCTCCTCCAGCCTGCGCTGACAGCCTCCTCCAGGATGAGCTCCTCTCTCCTCTTCTACCTGTGCTCCCTGCTGTGCGTGGCTCTGGGTGTGGCCAGCGTGGCGTGCGTGAGTCTGTGGAGCAGCAGGTGGCGTGGCGGCTTCGCCTGGGACGGATCGGGTCTGCAGTTCAACTGGCACCCGGTTCTGATGGTGACTGGCCTGCTGGTTCTGTACGGCTACGGTAGGCGCTTCTCTCTCTGCTGATGGCGCCTCAGATGTTCTGTGGTCGCTGATGTTTCCTTCCAGGTGGCTGGACCTCATTTTTCCCAGCGGATCATGTGATCAGCCGTTCCTGATTAGGAAGTTAAAGCTTTAAATGTCAGGCGTTGGCTGGAGGAAGGTTCCCGCTGCCTGAGGATCTTCAGCCTCTAACTTCTAACTGCTAACGAGCAAAACAACTTCTAGAAATATTTGTCCCAAAGAAGCAGCCCTGAGGAACACCGCCTGTTCCAAAGATGATGGATCTCTGAGTTTTAATCTCCCTGAATTAGATGCTGTTCATTATATAATATTTAATCTCATGTGAAACCCATCTAGAGTGAATAATACCACAGTTCGTTCTGGATCCTCCTTCAGGGACAGAAAGTGTCTGTTCATCTGTGTCACCAGGAGGAAGTGAGATAATCTGGTGTGAAATCCATTGTTAGTCGTCACCGCAGCGCCGGGTCGACTGTTCAGCTGTAGTTCCTGTTATGTGTCGCCTGATTCATCACTGAGTTCTAGTTTAGTAACCCAGGAAAAACATTCATCCTGGAGAAAAAAACTCTCTAACCAATTCAATTCTATTCAGTTTATTTCTATAGCTCCAATTCACATCATGTCATCTCAGGTCACTTTCCAGTTCACCAGATCATCCAGTCAGATTGATTCAAAGTTTTCTATCTAAGGAAAACCAGCTGACTGCATCGACTCATTGACTCTGTACGAATTCATGGGCT